CCAGGTCAGCGCAGGCGGCGCGGGGCTGGCATGGTGGCGGCTCCCCGGCCGCTGCTCGGCTGCAGGCGGAGTGCGCGCTCCGGCTCCGGCCGCCGCAGAAGCACCCGCCCCCGGCCGCCGCGCGGGCGCCAGCGAAATCCCGGAGCGCGGACGCCTGGGATCCAGGCGGCTCTGCGCGCCCACGCGCACCGTGCGGGGCCGCGATCCCTCCCCGCGAGGCGGCACCCGCCGGGCTGCGGTTTGCAGGCCCGCGAGGCCCCGCCCCGCCCCGCCTCCTAGTCTCTGCCCTTTTTTAATGCTGTCGCCCTGGTTCGGCCAATGATCCAGATGGATTGATTGAGAGATAGGAAGGGTGAAGGGGAGGAAAAGGCAAACCCAATTTCCTCTGATCAAACAGTTTGATGGGGTCCCTATTAGGGTTCCCTTTCCTTTGGGGCGTGTACAGAGGGCACTAGTTAATTAAACTCTTGCATCCTTCCGGCGCTCTGGACCCTGGTAAACCCACCTGGACTCGATCCTATCTGGTGTAATCCTCCAGGTTTACTTAGTCTGCCCCGCAGCCAAGGGGGAGAGATTTCAGATCACGAAGGCCAAACTGGACGCCTCTAGGAAAAAGCCCAAGGGCTATAGCCGAGAACCCTCGGGGAACCATGGTGTCTGGGGCCAGGGCCGAGTTAGCGTGGCGCACTGGATGCGGGGTCCAAAGCCTTCATTCCGTCATGAAGATTTTTCATTGACTGAGCCACAATCCGTGTTTTCACTCTGCCGGGTTCCCAGGGCTGGGCTGTCAGGCTCACTCGCCCACGTTCAGCAGGGACTCAGCCTGTTTAAAAGTTCTGCCCTGACATTTGCTTCCCCTTAAACCTCAGAGCCCCTTACCTTCTCCACTTCCGGATCTGTGGAGCCACACTGTGAACACTGTGACGGCAGATCTCAGAGGACAGACCCCGATGCAGCTGGCAATGCCAACCTGACAGGTGTCCCTGCAAAGCTGGACCTTTGTGGACTCTCCACGCCTTCTAAATCCTCCAAGATGCTGTGAGTAGCATCTTCCAGGAAGAGGAGGTTTTGTGTGTTGGGAGTAGGAAGGATGATGTTGACTGACGAATTTGTAGCTCTTTGAGAAAAACCAAAGCTGTCCACTTTAGGACTCTCTTCAGTAGCAATTACGTTCCATTTCTTCAGCGGCAAAGCAAAGCGGAGCCTCGGTAAAACATGGAGTCAATGCTAGGAAGATGTAAAGTAATAACAGCTAAAGACAAACGAAGGCAGGGAAGCCCCAAAGCTAGTGACAGCTTTTCTCAGCTCTTACCGGGGCTCAGAATTCCTCATTGCGCTGACACCCCGGTTTCCCTTACAGTCATAGGCGGTTGCTATTGAAACGATGAGAATCTGAGCAAGAATGACCCAAGCCTTCTTGCAGCTCAGCATTTCATTGGCCACGGTCTTTAAAGTTGTGTGTCTTCATCTTATCTTGTATACAAACGCTTCTTCTAAGCTATTAGCATGGAACTATTAACTAACTTTCCTGCCCAAGAAAACTGGCCAAAAAAAAAAAAAATAAATAAAGATTATTTCCAGACATAGTGAATAATTAAGACTTTTAAGGGCGAATCTACTGTCTTATAACGTCTTGGATTCCTGTCTGTTTTCTCCCCTTACAGCTTCAGAGTAGAGCGGGTTTTCAATCATTAAAAATGAAGCAATTCCCTACAGGCTCATTTCATGAGAGGGTCACCTTCTGTGGCAGAGCTGGGTGGGAGAAGCTCATGGAAAGGGTATCTGCATAGCCTGCCCTTGGACCCCCCCTCTTGGAGAACGTGTTAGTATGTTATAACGTGGCATGAGATTGGTAGCCGAGGGCCTACAGTCGTGATGTCATGGAAGCTTTTATTAAAATGGAGCATCTGTCATACGTGGTGCAAACACATTACCCACCATCCTCTCAAGAAGCCGCTACCTCTTCAGGTAATGTACTGGAAACAAACATCTTTGTACCAAAAATGCTTGCTTTTCAGCCAAGAGGCTCAAGAAATTACTCGGGCAGTTCAAGCGATGGTCTGAGATTAGAGCAGCCTGTTTTACATCTCAAGCCCCATCGTTTACCAAATGGAGCCTAAATGGGGTGTCAGTAGCACCGTTGACCCTCAGTTCCTCCTTCGTAAAGAGGTTTTTTAATTCAAGTCAGAGAACTACTGGATTCCTGGGCTGAAGAAAACTTTCAATTAGTAGAAAGATTTTATAGATGACATTTCTATGTCACATTTTTTCTCAATCACTGCCTTTACTCCTTTACTGCCTTTAATTCTTTACTCCTGCCTCCACGCAAAAACCCACAAATTAGAAAACAGACCCCTCCCTTGTCAGTATTGGGGATTGATTGTAGGGCCTCATGCTTTCTAGGCAAGAGGTATACCACAGTGTCTTACAGTTCCACACAGGCTGGTTTTGAAGAACTTGAGAGCGTCTCTCAGCCCCCTGGGTCGTTATGGGTACAGATGCATGCCACCATGCCTGGCATGGGAAAAGCAGGAGACTATTTTAAAGTTCAGTGTGTGTTAGGCCTGTACAGATGGCTCTGCAGTTCCAAGTATTTACTGCTCTTTCAGAGGACTGGAGTTCGACTCCCCGCACCTTCGTGCAGAAGACTCACAATTGCCTCTACCTTCGACTCCAGGGGATCCAAGGTCTGCCCTCTCCTGGCTTTCATGGGTACCCAAAATAATTACTCACATAGACTTAGACATGCACATAAATAAATAAGTAATAAAATATAACCCTTTTTTTTTTTTTTTTTTGAGACAAGGTTTCTCTGTGTAGCCTTGGCTGTCCTGGATTCACCCTGTAGACCAAGCTGGCCTCAAACTCACAGAGATCTGCCTGCCTCTGCCTCCCCGAGTGCTGGGATTAAAGGCATGCACTACCATGCCCAGCTACAAAATATATCTTAAAAAAATAAAGTTTAATGGCTCAAATGTAGTCTGCATTGTGAACTACTGGGCCCTTTTATTAACAGGGCTCTCTCTTCTTTGTCTTGTCACAGAAACAGAATACCACACTTTTTATGTGCAAGTAAATTCAGAATAATTTTAAAGGACTGCTACCAATTTTATAAAAGTTATACCCTCGTGTATTGAACTGTAGCTCCAAGTTTCATATGTTGAAGCCATTATCTTCAGTGCTTCAGAGCATAACCTTATTTGGAGACAGGCTTTCTACAGATATAATCAAGTGAAACAAATCAAAGCTACTAGATTGAGCCCTAATCCTCTACAACTGAATTTTTTCTTTTACTTGTTTGTCTGTTCTGAGACAAGGGTTTTATGTAACCCAAGCTATCCTTGAGCTTGCTGTGCAGCTGCGGAAGACTTTGGACTTCTAATTCCCTTGTCTTCATCCTCCATACCAGGCCTGATACGACTGATCACATGAAAAGGAAATTTGGAGACAGATCTGTGTTCAGGGAGGGTGCCACAAAAGTGGAAGTGGAGATTGTGGCGATATTTTATGAGTCAAGGGACATAACAGATTGCAGCAGATTCTCAGAAGCCAGCAGAGTGAGGGACAGCTCTCAGAAGGAACCAACTCCACGTCTAACTTGATCTCGCACTTCTCTAGTCTTCAGCTGTGAGGTAATGTATTTCTATTGTTCAGGCTAGCCCGCATGTGATGCTCTGTTACGCAGTGCCTGTCACCAAATGTGGTATCCAGCAATGCATGCTATGAATGCTCTTACCTCATTCAAGACGAAGAACTCACAACAGTTCAGACA